TTTTTTTTAAAGAATAAACCCAAATAGTCTATGTGTACATGTAGTAGCACAAACAACTATACTGTGTGTTCTGTGCACAATGTCTTAAGCACAAATACAAATTTGAAAATACAAAGAGCATAACTGAAATTTGGATGTTTACATATTAAACTCATTGCTATTAAGCTGCTAACCCACTAGCAAGTGAAGTCAATAGCTGGAGGCCTTGCATGAACAATGCAGTCAACTCACTAAGAGTTTTAACTGCAAATGAGCATTGATATCTGCCTTTAGAAAGTGGTTTCCTATCTTTCTGAAAATAAGGTGGAGGTCTACCCCTACCCAGGGACCAGCATGTTTCCTCTGTATGACCTATTTTTTGACAGGAACTACAAAACCTGCTATCTTTGCCACAGGGTTGTTTGCTGTGTTCTGCTGAAGTTTGAGGATTTTCATGACTCTCTAATGCTTCCTTCACACCATGCGTTCTGGTCCACGACTCTGCGCTATTACGGTGCTGCATCACCTTAAGAACTGAAATCGGCACACTTTTTTGAGCAGTAGCACATGCTTCCTCTGAACAAATCATTCCAGAATCATCGCAGCAAGTAATTTCCTCTAAGAAGTGAACTTTGGGAGACATGGACTCTTGTGCCTTAAGCTTAGCCTTGAGATCTGCAATGATGTCCTTGTGATTTTTACACTTCTTAGTTAGGATTAACTGCTCAGCTAGTAAGTTATCTACCTGCAATTGAAGATCTTGAATCTTAGCTTCTGACATTTGTGCCTCTGTATTTTTAGAATGTAGTTCATCACATTTAGCATCTATACTTAGACACATTGTTAACTCACTTAGCCTTATACAACGCATGTAGTTTAAAGCCTCAATTATTTCACCTTGTTTTAATTTCTTTTCATGTTTACCAAGTATGTTCCACCATGTAAGCATTCTCTTATCTGAATTAAGATCTTGTATTCTGAATTTGCTCAAGTTAGGTTTAACCTTTTTGCTCCATAAAGCAAACAATACGTCACTGTCAGAAATGTTCCCTTCCATCCCTGATGAGATGAGTCTGAATGTTCTCGAAGTGTACAGTAATGGGACAATTGAAGCTAATTACAAAAAAACACTTAATTTCACTTGTTGGAGATAACTTTCATGTGGGCAAGCTTTAGTCTAAGCATTGCAAAAACCAACTCTCTGTAAAAGAGAAAGAAGGTTTTCAGCATTAGAGGCCTTGCATTCTCTTAATTTGCTTTGATGCACTAAAATAGTATTACTGCTCACTGAAGCACTAAACTCAACTTCTTGTGCTTAGTCGCTCTAATATAACTTCATGAGCATAAAACTCCTATCAGATTAAAATCTGTCTTTCTGCATTGGAAAAAAACATTTAATTTCACTTGCTGGAGATAACTTTCATGTGGGCAAGCTGTAGTCCTAACATTGTAAAAACCAACTCTCTGTAACAGAGAAAGAAGGTTTTCAGCATATGAGGCCTTGAATTCTCTTCATTTGCTTAGTTGCAATAACATAATGTTACTGTTCACAGAAGCACTAAACTAAACTTCTTGTGATTAGTAGCTCTAACATAACTTCATGAGCATAAAACTCCAAACAAATTAAAATCTGAGTTTCTGCATTGCAAAAAACATTTAATTTCACTTGTTGGAGACAACTTTCAGGTCATGGGAGTTTTACTTACTCAAAGTTGTTCTAAGGGCAGAAAGGAAAATGATTGGTTGAAAGATTCAACCAATGAAATTGGATCAGAGGCGGGGGCAAGATTGGAGGGAATCTACAGAATACTCTACAGAGAAACTTTATCGACTGCTCGTCGGAGATCGCATTTATTGTAAGTGATTTTACGATATATTTTATGAAAAATCACACATAAACAGCTATTGAATACTCCTGCTCTGAGAGCAGCATATAGTAGACTAAAAATAACAGCAATATAAAACTATTGAGTACTCCTGCTCTGAGAGCAGCATATAGTA